AAAGAAAGAATAGAGGAAGATGCCGGGTGTCTGGGGCCAGTGTAGCAGCTGAGCTGCAGCTCCTTCCAGTATTCCTCTCAGACTCAGTCCCTTACTGCAAGCCAGCTGGTGACTGCTGAACACTGTGGAGTTCCAGCCCTTCTCTTCCCATTCATCAGTGGAGGCGGAGCTGCGCATGCGGAAGAAGGTAATATCTGACTCTGATGTGCAATGTGTCAGTTAGTGATTACATCATGATCCACAGCCTGCTCTTCTAGTGCCTGCTGATCTGTGGTAGTGTTGGTGGTGGGTGTGTTGTGTCGGATTTGTCATTGTGTGGGATCACTCAGTTCCGGTGTTCTCTCTGCTGTCACGGTATTTTATCTCCTCCCCATTGCCTGGGGAATTCCAGCCTGGAATCTGTCAGTGTGTGGATCCATCATCCTCCGCTCACTGCAACTGTCATTCACTGCAGTTGCATGTTTTGGTGATTTAATATTTTCTACTTTCTTTAAAAATGTTTTTTTTTGGGGGGTGGGGGGAGCAAGTAGCTGGTCTTGCCTAGGGCACAAAATAGTCTAGCACTAGCCCTGGACCTAACAAACACCTCATACCAGTGCATCACCCTCCTCCAAACAATGCAGCCTTTGCCCAGGCTGTGAGGCTGTGCAGCTTTTCATTTCTCCTGCAATGAGACATCCTCACCATTGCACGCTAATGTAAATGCAGTACCACTAGCCAGCCCATGAGAAACCACCTACCCAGGGTCGGACTGACCATTTGGAAACTCGGGCACCGCCCGAGGGTCCGGGGTCAGTAGGGGACCCCATGAGATGCCTCTGGTACCTTTTTCATAAGCTTTTTTGAGTTTTGGCAAGGGCACAGGAGCCCCATGATCCCCTATTGTCCAGGGGCCCCATGAGTTGTCAGTCCTCCCCTGCACCTACCAGAGGTGTAACTAGAATCTTTAGGGCCCTAGAGCAAGAAATCATAAAGGGCCCCCCTGACCCAAACCTGGGGCCTTCCCACTTATCTCGGGGCTCTTTACTTCTGTTGCGGGGTCCTTTGTTATGGTACCATAGCGGGACCCTTACATTAGAGTCCCCCCTTATATCAGAAATGTCAGCTTTCCCAGAGTCCCCTTGCATCAGAGTTCCCCTTTACAGTACATCGGAGTCTGCAGGGTTCCCCCTTACAGTGCTCACTCCCCCTGACTATGCTGGTTGCAGATCAATTTGATCTGGTAAAAGGCAGTCACAAGTTCAGCACTTACCTGTTTGTTTTTCCTGCACTTGGTGGATGAAAACTACAAGGGCTGATGATCACAATATTGATAGAGTATTTTTCATTTATTTTTTAATATTTTTAATGTTATATATTAGGCCCCTTTCACATGGGAGGATCATCTGGTTCGTCTGTCCATTTTACAGGTGGACCCGATCAGAGCAGCCTTTGTTCTCTGTGGGGTGGTGGATGTAAACGGACATGTGCTGCTAAAAACAGATTGGGGATCCGTTCTTCATCTGTCTGACAGCTCATGGGGCCCCCGGGTAATAGGGGATCATGGGGCCCCTATGTCCTCGCCCACACTTAAACCACACCCAAAAAAGCCTATAAAAGGTACCAGGGGCATCTTATGGGGCCCTCTACTGACCCTGGGCCCTCCGGCAGTGCCTGAGTGCCCAAATGGTCAGATTGCCCCTGGTCGTGCCCTGTAGTCCACAGGCTTTGGGGAATTTTTCTTTGTTAGCCATGAGACTTGGAAGACATTGTACGTCAGGTTGTTGGATTGTTATTGTATTTTTTTCACAGGTCCTTTGTTTGTTTTATGTATGTACCTTTTTTAACGGCATGTAGTGTTTTGATTATTCATAAAAAAGAGTTAAATATAGATATCTTTAAAAAAAAGAAGGGGAACTCCATGCAAAAAAAAATTGTCGTGGGGTTTCCCTTGAAAATACAAACCAGTACCTTATCTTTTATTACTTGATTTGAGTATGGTATAGATGTCAAGATGAACCCCATGCAAAAAAAAAAAGGAAAAAAAAACGCACGCAGAAAACAAATAAAAAGCATGAGGTCACCACACCAAAATGCATACCAAACGCTTATCCAAGCATGCCACCTGGCAGACCTGGAAAAGGGTAACATGAGCATGTGCCCCCCTTCCTCTTTCCCCAAATCCATACCATCTACGTGCTTTCAACCCCACAACCCCACAACCCTGGTGGATGTGGACAGAGGGGGTAGCAGAATCTGGAAACCCCCTTTAAAAATAAAAGGTTGACCAAATAATGACCCCAACTCCCCTCTACATTCACAAACAAAAAGTACAGAATAAATTAACATACTGACACTTTTAAATCCATCATCAGTTTTGTTCAGTGATGCAGATCCTAGTCAATCACTATGAATGACACTCACTGAAAAAAAAAAAACACTTGCCGCAGATGACAGCTCCCAGAACCAGCAGCTAAATCTAAAGAGGTGGGGTGTTCTGGGCAACATCATTGGCCATCCTTATACATAAACTTGCTTTATTAAAGTATAGTTATCCTTTAAGATCACAAAGCAAAATACATGTGAACAGGGTCAATGCTAGACTATGTTGTACCCTAAGCAAGACCAGCTACTTGCATCCCCCCTCAATAATAATCCTTGGTATGAAGAGTATTAAATCTTCTTCCTTAGACTACAATCATAGCCAAAAAAACCTGAACCAAATAGCTGCTCTACGTTTAATATAGAATGATGTGTGTTTTGCCCTCGTGGTAAATACCATATAAATATAGACTTTAATTAGAAAACAACACGCCTGCATCAGGTGCATTTATGTGACAGTTCTTGCCTTTAGCAAGCCACACCTGTGAAATTATAGAACACACAGGGAGGACAAACAACACTTTTCTAGTGAAAGCCCCGGCAGACATTCCAGAAAAGTGCAAGTTCTATATTCCTCCATTGTACACATCAGCTGCATGACATTTCATACAGATATCTTACTATATCAATTTACTGTAACCAAAGCAGTGAAATGGAGGCACTTCATGGACATAAATCTATTTTAGCTTACTTGTGTATCTGCAAAATAGAAATTCTGATTATTATATACTACCAAATTTTACACACTGCTCTTTTTCTTATTAAATATTCTACGTAACTAAACTGAAGAACAAAAATGATACTGTATATGTTGCAGCTTCAACAGATTAAAAATATATGACCAGTATAAAAATCTATATGTATCAAGGTATCAAACATCCCAAATTATGCAGGCCATAGATGGGTCGAAAATCGGCCGATTTTTCGGCCGAAAATAAAATCGGCCGATTTTCGGATCGTTAGTGGGCGATTTGGTCGGCCGTTTTTCGGTATTTTGGCCGTTTTTTTTCTTTCGGTAAAGTTGGAAAAAAATCGGCCGATTTTGCCGATCGGCCGATTTTCGCGGCAATTAGTGGGCAAATCGGCCGATTTTTTACCGATAAAAAATCTGCGCATGAGCAGTGACCTGCAAGAGGAAGACAAAAAGAAGAAAAAGAAGAAGAGGAAGACGATGAAGAAGAAGAAGAAGAGGATGAGGATGATGAAGAAGAAGAGGATGAAGAAGAGGATGAGGATGAAGAAGAAAAAGAAGAAGAAGAAGAAGAGGATGAGGATGAAGAAGAGGATGAGGATGAAGAAGAAGAAGAAGAAGAAGAAGAAGAAGAAGAGAAGAAGAGGATGAGGATGAAGAAGAAGAAGAGGATGAGGATGAGGATGAAGAAGAATAATAAGAAGAAGAGGATGAGGATGAAGAAGAAGAAGAAGAAGTAGGATGAAAATAAGAAGAATTCCAGTCCAGCAAAAAGTGTATCTGCAGAGAGCTCCGCTATTTCTGACAGTTCTCTGACAGTTCCTTGACATTTACAGCGGTTGAAACATTGTATCTATTTGTTTCCGAATAAAAACATCCGTATCCTAAATGGAAACAAATAGATACATTGTTGCAACTTCTATAAATGTCAAGGAACTGTCAGAGAACTGTCAAAGAAATAGCAGAGCTCTCTGCAGGGACACTTTTTGCCGGCTCTAGACGGGTAGAAAATCGGCCGATTTTTTTTACCATTGATGGTAACGTCGGCCACTTGAACAACCGATTTTTCGTTTTTTAAAAGAAAAATCTGCAGTTTTTCTCCCCATCTATGGCCTGCATTACTAGGTATGCATTAGGCACAATTTGTTGGACTTTTAAGGTACCAATGTAATACTGTATACTGACACATTATTTCAATTAGAATCCCTACATTTATTACATTGAATGTATATAATATGGCGTGATGTTTCACTAGCTGAGTTTATTTTTTTATATACACAAGGACATTGTAGGTCCACCATTTTTTATTATGTAGTCTATGCCAAAATTTTATGGATTTTGTTCAATCTGCGTGTCCGTATATTACATTTGTTATCTTAAAAATCTTGCAAATTGTGCTCAACTCCTTCTTTCCGGCCACACACATATATGCGGTCTCTTGGCAAGTGGGCCTTAACGCCGAGACTCCACATATATGCGTACTCAAAAGAACCAGAACTGTGCTGAGAGAGCACACTGTGTGCACTCTCGGCATAGTTATCGGTGGCTAACGGAAAGCTCCCGATCTCTATTTGTGATCGGGAGCTTTCCGATCATGTGACAGCTAATCACGGCACCATCTGATTATTGTTTTATGGTATATTTATTTTTGCAGTTTGTAATGTTTCTGTTTAGATTGATTTGAATGCATTTTTGGAGGGAACATGCCATCATGGGGCGGGGCCAGGCTCATTTCACTTCACTCTGATTGGTGGATTGTTTTCTTAACTGCCTCCCACCCGCCATATAGTAATATGATGGACGCAAGGTGGTTCTCTCGTTTTGGGAGGACGGCATATGACGTCCTCCCATTCTCACCGCGCATGCGTGGCTTCTCAGAGCGCACAGCGCGGTGATATGCGGTGCGCTGTGTCCATCGGACACAGCGGATCACCAATCCATGGAAAGAGCCAAAGATGTCGGCTCGGTCATGTGATCAGCTGTGTCCAATCACAGCTGATCACATGTAAACAGGGAAATGCCGGTTATCGTCATTTCTCTCCCCACAAGCTTTCACGCTGACAGTTCATGAGGAGAGCTGGTAATCGGCATTCCCCGGAGGGGACATGTACACAGATCATCAGAGTACTGATGATCAGTGTAGCCCCAGCAGCACCACCTGTCAGTGTCCATCAGTGCCAGCTCTCAGTGCTCATCCATGCCACCTGCCAGTGCCCATCAGTGCCACATCAATGCCACATATCAGTGCCCATCTGAGCTGCCTTTCAGTGTTACCCATCTGTGCCAGTCAGTGACACCTATCGATGCCAGTCAGTGCCACCTATCAGTGCTGCCAATCAGTGCCACCTATCAGTGCCAGTCAGTGCCACCTATCAGTGTGCATCAGTGCCGCCTATTATTGCCCATCAGTGCTGCCTATCAGTGCCACCTAACAGTGTCAGTCAGTGCCACCTAGCAGTGCCAGTCAGTGCCACCTATCAGTGCCGCCTATCAGTGCCATATATGAGTGATGCCTTTCAGTGCCCATCAGTGGTGTCTGTCAATGCTCATCAGTGCCACCTACCAGTGCCTCCTCATCAGTGCTCATCAGTGCCACCTATCAGTGTCCATCAGTGCAGCCTATCAGTGCCCATCCCTGCAGCCTCATTAGTGCACATCAGTGAAGGAGAAAAATCACTTATTTACAAAATTTTATAACAAAAACATAGAAAAAACTTTTTTTTTCCAAAATTTTCAGTGGTTTTTGGTTTGTTTAAGACAAAATAAAAAACTCAGAGATGATTAAATACCACCAAAATAAAGCTCTATCTGTGACAAAAAATGATAACAATTTCATATGGGTACAGTGTTGCATGACCGCGCAATTGTCATTCAAAGTGCAACAGCGCTGAAAGCTGGAAATTGGCCTGGGCAGGAAGAGGGTAAAAGTGCCCTGTAGGCGAGGGGTTACATAGTTCTCCAGTTTCTGTCACAATTTGTCACATGCCTGATGAAGGGGTCCTGCGAGACTCCGAAACGTTGCCTTGCTGTAATTATATGATCGTTCATTAAAACTTTTGGACCCATATTGGTGATCCTCGGTGTGCTGGTGACATTCTTCTTGCTGATTTTGTTCGGTTCCAGCCGACGGTCGCTGCAGCGTCCATTTATACATACAGCCATTTTAAATGCAGTGCGCTTGGATTGTACACTAGCTAATCATGGCAGTCACATGATCACAAACCCTGCCCCATCTCCCGGCATCTAAAACCCATTAAAGGGCTGTGAGGTGCGTCGGTGCTAAAGGGTTAATCTATTCTGATCAGCCATAACATTATGACCACTTACCTAATATTGAGCAGGACCCCATTTGTATCCAAAACTGCCCTAACACATTGAAGCATGGACTCCACTCAGTAAAGAATCGCACTGCCTTTGCCAGCTTGCCTTCTTCCTATACTGCATCCTGGTGTCATCTCTTCCCTAGGTAAGCCACACACATACACCCGGCCCACTCACATGATGAAAAAAAAAACCTGATTCATCAGACCAGGCCACCTCCTTCCATTGCTCCATGGTCCAGTTCACATGCCCATTGTAGGCACTTTTGGCTGTGGACACGGACCAGAAAGAGCACCCTGACTGGTCTGCAGATACACAGCCACATACACAACAAACTGTAATGCACTGTTTTCTGATATTTTTGTATTGGAACTAGCATTACCTTTTTCAGCAATTTGAGCTACATGGGATCAGACTACATGGGCCAGCCTTCACACTCCATGTGCATCAATGAGCCTTGGCAGCCAATGATCCTGTAGCCGGCTTGCTGATTTTCCTTTCTTGGACCACTTTTGGTTGGTCCTGACCACGGCAGACTGGAAACATCCCACAAGAGCTGTAGTTTTCAAGCCATTACAATTTGGCCCTTGTCAAAGTCTCTGAAATCCTTACGCTTGGCCATTTGTTCTACTTTCAAAACATCAACTTCAGGGACAACATGTTCACTTGCTGCCTAATATGTCCAACAAAACTTTTATTGTAACAAGATAATCAATGTTTTTCACTTTACCTGTCAATAGTCACGATGCCATTGCTGATCGGTGTATATCTCTGTATTGCAGCTTATAAATCTTTAGATGTGGTGTCAACATTAGTTTTCTTCTTTCAGCTGTTTTCCTTTTAGTTTCAATTTGTGATCTAGCCAGTAACACAGTTACTGTTGTAGGATGTCAGCGCTCACTCACCATACTTACCATTAATCAATATTAATACTATGGTTCTCTTTGCACTTAGGAGACTTTTAGAAATGTGTTCAGTCTGCATTAAAAAGTGTTCCTTTAATTTTTTAAAGGATTTAGTAACACTTTATTGTCTGTCTGAAATCATCTAGAAAGAGGGAACAGGCAGGGCTTAAAGTGTTACTAAACCAAGTCTTGTGACTTCTAGCAGTGTTCAGCAGAGCACTGGTTAAAGGTTGAAGGAGGAGTTTTGTTCTTCTCTAGGAGGATAAAGGACCCTTGACCCTCTGTCTGGACAGTGCTGATTGGCCCTGTGCTGATCACGTGCACTTTCCCAAGATAAAAAAAAACCTGTCTAGCAATACACACAAAACTGAGTATGTGCAGAGTGACCCCACTCGATATGTCTTATCAGGAGATAAGAGGGGGGCACTGGAAGAAGGGTAGGATCATAGAATCAGGATCAAACAGCGTTTTTACACAATGCAGAGGATTAACCCCTTAGGTTCCACAGTGAGTATAACAAGCATGCTTTACTGCATATACAGACTGATTTTACTGTTGTGTGGGTTTAGTAACACTTTAACTAAACATATGGATATGGACAACAAACTTTTCTGTAATTAATCATATTTTTGAAATTCATAGCAGGGGGTGCCCTAACTTTCAACTCTGGAACTTTAGAAAGAGGGAAAGTAGGGAACTATCATATGTGGCACATGTAGCATTATATGGCGGAGAGCATAATGTAGTTGAAAGTAGCTAATAGGGATGAGCAAAAGGATTTTGTTGAAATTGCTAATTTTGGCAAAATTTACAGATAATTAAATCCAGTGCATTTTTCTGAAAGCGAAAATTGTATTTTTGCAGCCAACTGTTTTAAAATTTTCACTTTACTCACCTTTAGTAGCTAACCTGATGTGGTTTAAAATGGCATGGCCAAACCTTCATCAAGTGTCCCCCAGTCACGGCCACAATCTTTATAAAGGCATCAGGGGTTCCTCATGTGTGTTTTTTCTTCTTAAAGCTTTACTAAACCCACAACCGTAAAATCAGTCTGTATATGCAGTAAAGCATGCTTGTTATACTCACTGTGGAACCTAAGGGGTTAATCTTCTGCATTGTGTAAAAATGGTGCTTGATCCTGTCTTCTTTGATCCTCCCCTTCTTCCAGTGCAGCCTTCTTAACTGCTGGTGAGAAAAGGAATTTAGCAGTTTTTATTTACTACAATAATTGCACTTCTATGTTCTGTGTACTGTGGGAGACCAGATACAGTGAATGTAGGGTCCTGGGTTTAGTAACACTTTAATAACTGCCTGTCTGAAAGCATCTAGAATGAGGGAACAGGCAGGGCTTAAAGTGTTACTAAACCAAGTCTTGTGACTTCTAGCAGTGTTCAACAGATCACTGGTTAAAGCTTGTAGGAGTTTTCTGTCTGCTCTAGGAGGATGCAGGACCCTTGACCTTCTGTCTGGACAGTGCTGATTGGCCCTGTGTTGATCACATGCACTCTCCCAAGAAAATAACCTCTCAAGCAATGCACACCAAACTGAGCATGTGCAGAGTGACTCCACTCAATATGTCTTATCAGGAGACAAGAGGGGGACACTGAAAGAAGGGGAGGATCAGAGAAGCGAGGGTCAAATATCCTTTTTATACAACGCAGAGGATTAACCCCTTAGATTCCACAAGGAGTATAACAAGCATGCTTTACTGCAGATACAGACTGATTTTACTGTTGTGGGTTTAGTAACACTTTAACTAAACATATGGAGGGACTGCCTCAGTACTGGTTTGGACTCACAGGCTGTCTCAGTCCTGGTTTAGAGACATGCACTGTTTACAATTGTAGTGCTACCCCCTTGAGGGCCGCTGGGTTTTGGGTCCCCCTATTCCTGCATAGCCAGGCAACACACATTTTTTTACTTTCTCACGAAGTCAGTAACCAGTCCATGGGCTTGTTTATTTTGTTTTATTGAGGGGAAAACAACTTGGATGGGGATATGGGAATATGGGATGCCCAACTTGACTTGGTAGAACAATCTGGGGCCAATCTTCCTTCTCTGTATACACAAAAGTGCAGATCCTGGACTGTACTCCCTCCAGAATACCATCAGTCTCTAAAAGATCAATAACCTCTTTTAGAAGTGCTATGTCCCCTGGGTGAAACTCACAAAGTCACAAAACTTTGCAGAAAATACAAGGCCACCGGGCTGCCTTGTAAAGTGTACCAGATCAATGGATTTAGGTTAGCTGTGACACTCTCCCTATAAAAGCATGCTGGATATTGCACCGGACAGCCTTCTTCCTTGTAGGCCCTGGGGGTGTAGAGGTATTCATACTGTCCCTTGTATCCCTTTGGATAAGACTGGTGTTCAGGCCTTCTGCTGTGCTAGTTTTCCCATGCTAGGGGTGGGGAAGATTTACTAAAACTGGAGAGTGCAAAATCTGGTGCAGCTCCGAACAGAAACCACTCAGCTGCCATGTTTTATTGTTAAAGCTTAACTGAACCAGCTGAACTTAGAAGCTGATTGGCTATCATGCACAGCTTAACCAGATTCTGAGTGCTCCAGTTTTAGTAAATCTCCCCTGGTGTCTCTTGAATAATCCTTCCTCAACTCAAGCCTGGAGGCAGAACCCCCCTTCTCCAGGGTCCCCTCCTAAGCCTCATGATCCTTAGTACTCCATCTTTCACCTAACCACAGACCGCACCAACTGGCCAGGCTCTTCAATATTTATTTGGCCCATCTTACCACCCTGCCAGGCCTCCTGCCTGGTGATTGGTCAAATTCCCATAAATATTCAGATCCCTGCTTTTGCACCTCCATCCACTAGCTTCTAGAAGTTTCCATGGACCTCCAGGGGGAGACAATAGAGACTTGATCTGCAGAGCCTCCCAGCTTTACCCAGACTCACATGACTAATGTGAGTCAACATAAATTTACCTAACCCAACTCTACACTAGAGTGTGCTACACAATGTATGAGAGGGCTGGAATTTGTGATAGCCAGGAATTACATGAGTGCACTGCACTATAGAAATCAGTTTTTGGCTCTGAATATGAACTCATTTAATTAAAGAAGTCAACCAAATGTCTTTCTTATTCTAAGCTCTTGCCTGTATTTAAAGAGCACATGCAGAGAATCTGAATCTAAACAAAGTATTGTCAATGAGCCTGTG